AGCTGAGCCATGCTGGCTCAGGAATTCTGGGAGTTGAAGTCCACGAGTCATGAGGTGGCCATAGTTCCCCCATGCTGGCTCAAGAATTCTGGGAGTTGAAGTCCACCAGTCATGAAGGGGACACAGTTTCCCCATGCTGGCTCAGGAATTCTGGGAGTTGAAGTCCACGAGTCATAAAAGAGCCAAGGTTGCCTACCCCTGGCCTAAGTCCTCCTGTTCTAAGTGGTGAGCCTCCTAGACCAGGGGTGGGCAACCGTGGCTCTCTTATGAATGGTGGACTTCAACTCCCAGAATTTCTGAGCCAGCCATGCTGAGGGGAAAGGGAGAGGTTTCCAAGCTGAGCTATGCTGGCTCAGGAATTCTGGGAGTTGAAGTCCACCAGTCATAAAAGAGCCAAGGCTGCCTATGCCTGTCTTAGGTTGAGTGAGACCCCCTCCTATTCTTTCCTCCAAGACTTTAAATATGCACCTCTCACCCTGAGTTTGGGCTGGCTGGGTGTGATCCCGCACCGTCCCCCGTAGGAGGTGTCATTGGGAAATACAGGGGGTCCTCCGCTTATAACCATCCTTTTGGGGACTGTTCGAAGTTACGATGGCACTGAAAAAAGAGACTTACAACCGTTTTTCACACCTGTGACTGTTGTTGCAGCCGCCCCTTTTGGTCACATGATTAAAATTCAGAGACTTGGCAACTGACTCATATTTATGACGGTTGTGGTGTCCCAAGGTCACACGATTCCCTTTTGTGACCTGAGAAGCCAAGTCAGTGGGGAAGCCAGATTCCCTTAACAACTGTGTTACTAGACCCCTGGTGGTGCAGTGGCAGTACTGCAGACTAATTCTGCCGACAGCAGTTCGATCCTGACCGGTTCAAGGTTGACTCAGCTTTCCGTCCTTCTGAGGTCGGAAAAGGAGGACTCAGATTGTTGGGGGCAACAGATGCCGCCTCTGCAAAGGGCTTAGAGGGGGCTGTGAAGCCCTGTGGTATATAAGTCAGAGGGCTATTTGCTACTAACTTAACAACTACAGTGATTCACTTAAGAACTATGGTGAGAAAGGTCGTAAAACGGGGCAAAAGTCACTGAACAAATGTTTCACTTAGCAACAGAAATCTTGGGCTCCATCGTGGTCGTAAGTCGAGGGTTCTCTGTATGGGTGGGTGAAGGCACCTGGTCCAGACGGGGGGGGGAGACCCTTCCCCAGCAGGGGGGTTTGTGAAAGGAATCTTTGCAATGGGATGGAGGTGGCGGGGGTGTTTGCTCAGATGTCCTGGACCCCTGTCGCTCATGGGACATTTGTTAAGTCAGCTTTGCCCTGTTTCACAATTTTTCTTGGCCCTGTTGTTAAGCAAATAATAATAATAATAATAATAATAAAATTATTATTATTATTATGTTGGAAGGGACCTTGGAGGTCATCTAGTCCAACCCCCTGCCAGGCAGGAAACCCTACACCATTTCGGACAAATGACTGTCCAGTCTCCTCTTAAAAACTTCCAGTGTTGGAGCATTCACAGCTTCTGGAGGCAGGTTGTTCCACTGGTTAATTGTTCTCACTGTCAGGAATGTTTCTCCTTAGTTCTAGGTTGCTTCTCTCCTTGATCAGTTTCCATCCGTTGCTTCTTGTCTTGCCTTCCGGCGCTTTGGAGAATAGCTTGACTCCCTCTTCTTTGGGGCAGCCCCTGAGATACTGGAAGGCTGCTATCATGTCCCCCCTAGTCCTTCTCTTCGTTAAACTAGACATACCCAATTCCAGCAACCGTTCTTTATATGTTTTAGCCTCCTTAAGTTAGTCACAGCTTCTCCACTGAGTCCGCTTATCACAGTGTTGTAAAAGGGGATCACACGGCCCCAGGACGCCACAATTGTTGTAAATATGAGTCTGCTACAGAGGATCTGAATTTAGATCACTTGGCCGTGAGGGCGCTGCAACAGGGCTAACTATAAAAACAGTCATAAATCACTTTTTTTCCCAGCACCGTTGTAACTTTAAACGGTCACTAAATGAACTGCTGTAAATCAAGGACTGCCTGTACAAAAACAGAGGGGATTCTTGAGTGAGAATGGAAATCCCTGAGTAGCAATAAGGGAGAATATTTGCAGTTCGGGGCTGAAACGAGGGGTCCCTACGTCGATCAATGCAAAGCAACCTATTTGGGTCTGGGGGAGAAGTGGGCTGGATGGGACAGGTTAGGGAGAGCACTTTTTAATGCCTTGCAAGCATTCTGAGGAACTTGCTGAGGCTGCACAAACACACAGACACACAGACACACACACACACACACACACACACACATACACACGTTCTGTGAATATGTCAAGAAGAATAAACAAAGAGGGCCTTGCTGGTTCTAAGAGAGAGAAAAGCAGAGGCTTGACTGAAGACAGACGCCAAGGTCTCGCTGGCCGGGATGGGTGTCCAGAAGCAAAATGGCTCTGCTAGCAGAACTGAGAAAGAAAGTTTTCTTTTACTCACGGCTGACCAGGGTTTCCCAATCTTGGCCACCTGAAGAAGGGGGGACTTCAACAGCCAGAATTCCCCAGCTGGCAAGACGCGAGAAGAGCAACCAAGTTGATTAGGGGACTGGAGGCTATGAAAAGTTCATATATGAACATATGAAAAACAGTTGCAGGAATTGGGTATGTCTAGTCTAGCAAAGAGAAGGACGTGGGGGGGGGAAAACATGATAGCGGCCTTCCAATATCTGAAGGGCTGCCACAAAAAAGAAGGGGGTCAATTTATTTTTCAAAGCTCCTGAAGGCAGGACAAGAAACAATGGTTGGAAACTGACCAAAGAAAGAAGCAACCTGGAATTAAGGAGAAATTTCCTGACAGTTAGAACAATTAACCAGTGGAACAACCTGCCTCCTGAAGCGGTGAATGCTCCAACATTGGAAGTTTTTAAGAGGAGACTGGACAGCCATTTGTCTGAAATGGTATAGGGTTTCCTGCCTGAGCCGGGGGTTGGACTAGATGACCTCCCAGGTCCCTTTCAACTTTATAATTATTATTATAACCTGGAACTAAGGAGGAATTTCCTAACAGTGAGAACAATCGATCAGTGGACCAGCTTACCTGCAGAAGTTGTGGATGCTTCAACACTGGAGATTTTAAAGAAGAGACTGGTTTATTTTGAAGGAGCAAATTTACACCTTAAGGTTCATTCTAGGATTTGTGGCTCCGGCAAGGACCCTTGGCCGTATCACCATGAAGTTAGATTTTTATAATGCACTCCAAACCATTGTTTCAACACAGGGCAAAAGTTGCAGCTGGTTCTAGATGTGGTGGGCAGGTTGTTAGCAGGTGAGAGCCACTACACAACTCTTATAATGCCTTCCAGTTGCCCCTTTGGTTGACAGTTGGGTCCTGAGTCCCATTCAAGGCACTGCTTTTGACCTAAGCCCTGGAAGACTTGGCTTCGAGGTACCATAGAGATCATCTTGCCTTGCTCTGCATACAGGGCGGAGACACCGAAAGCCCCACTTCCACAACAATTCAAGGGGTCTGAAGGTGACCCCTTTCTCTGGAGCACCCTCAGCCCTTCAGCATCTGGACTGCTGGCCTTCCACAAGGCAGTCAAGACTGCACGGATGCAGTAGGCATTTTTTTTTTTTTTTTGTGTGTGTGTGTGTGTGTATGCGCGTGTGTGCTTATGTGGTTAAGTGGTTTGTTATTGTCTTACTCTATACTATTACGTAGGCCAGACTAAGAAATCAATTCCCCAGGAAGGTGAAAACTACTTATATTGAGTTTGGCTGTAATAGCAGAATCTTGCAAGTCTGCTGGTACTGCTTTTCTTTCTTTCTTTCTTTCTTTCTTTCTTTCTTTCTTTCTTTCTTTCTTTCTTCCTTCCTTCCTTCCTTCCTTCCTTCCTTCCTTCCTTCTTTTTTTCTTCCCTCCCTCCCTCCCTCTTTTCCTCCCCCTCCCTCCCTCCTTTCCTTCCTTCCTTCCCCCTCCCTCCCTCCCTCCCTCCCTCCCTCCCTCCCTCCCTCCCTCCTTCCTTCCTTCCTTCCTTCCTTCCTTCCCTCCCTCCCTCTTTCTTTCTTCCTTTCTTCCTTTCTTCCTCCCTCCCTCCCTCCCTCCCTTCCTTCCTTCCTTGGTTCTTTGCTCTAATCCCAGAAGCGCAGAGCAGGCGGGCGGTTCTTTCAATGATCCGATTCTGTTGCTTTGACAGGGAAACGGTGGGCAGCCATGACAGCGTCAACGTCTTCCTGCCACAGGATGCCGCCCAGCTTTTCCAGACAGAGGGGATTTTTCCACGCCGGATGGGCATAGACTCGTGGCTAGCCCACCGCACTTTGAGGAACCACAAATGTGGCGTCTTCCTATTGTAAGTTACTTAATTCCAGCAACCGTTCCTTATATGCTTTAGCCTCCAGTCCCCTGATCATCTTTGTGGCTCTTCTCTGCACTCTTTCGAGAGTCTCAACATCTCTTTTATAGTGTGGAGACCAAAACTGGTTGCCATATTCTAGGTGTGGTCTTACTAAGGCTTTATAGACTGGTGTTAGTACCTTGATTGAATCCTGTTAATGCAACTTAGGATTGCATGGCTGGAGGGTTCATGGACAGAAGGGGCTTCGGGGGCTTCAGTGGAAAGGGGGGAAGGGTCTGGATTGAAGAGGGCTACTGGGCAGAGGCAAGGGAGGCTCCCGCAATGAACTGGGGCACGGAGGTCCTTCACGGAGAAAAGCCGGCAGCCGGGGGTCTCACCTGTGGGGGTGACCTTGCTTTGCAGGAACGGGGAAGAGTGGCGCTCGGACCGTCTGACCCTCAACAAGGAAGTGATCAGCCCTGCCGGCACCCGCAAGTTCCTGCCCTTCCTCAACACGGTGGCCGAGGACTTTGTGGCTTTCATGCACCGGCAGGTCAGGAAGAACACCCGGGGCTCTCTGACCGTGGACCTCTACCACGATCTCTTCCGCTTCACGCTGGAAGGTACGGCCAGGCCTTTTGAGACGGCCCCCTCCCAGCATGCCCACCTCTGCGTGCTCCCCACTCCGCCCCCCCTCCGTGCATCGGGGGCATCTCTGGGAGTGTGGAAGGTCTTCTTCTCATGGCTTCCTCTGAAAGTCCCGGCGGGCCTCCTTCCTTAGTTGGGCGAGGCCTCGCTTGGAAGGGGACAGGAAAAGGACCCCAAGGGGGCCTGGAGAGCCCCTCCAGCAGAGAGAAGGCCCAAAACTGGTAGGGAAGCAGTTAGTCAGAAGAACTGTGAGGTTTCTATTTCATTCACCACCCACTGAGGCCAAACTTTGCAGGATCAGCTCCACGTTGGGCCATTTAAGCAACCAATTCAGTTAAACCTCCCACAGCTGCATTCAACTAACCAGCTGGTTAGCCATAACCTTGGGACTCAGTCTTGTAAGTGAAACCCCCCCCCCAACGAAATGGCTCAGAGCAGGAGTGTCCAACTGTGGCAACTTTAAGACCTGTGAACTTCAATTCCCAGAATGCCCCAGCCAGCCTTGCTGCATAAGGAGCCCTTTGCAAAGATGTCTCAGTCTGTCTGATTGACTGACTGACTGATATTGCCTTTCCTTTAGGACAGGGTGTCCAATCTTGGCAACTTTTAAGATCTGTGGACTTCAATTCCCAGAATGCCCCAGCTAGCCAGCATTCTAGCAAAGTGCATTTTAATCTTTGGGGTGTTGCGATCAGGGCTTTCTGGGGGCTTTCTAAAGCAGGGGTGTCCAACCTTGCAACTTTTAAGATGTGGACTTCAACTCCCAGAAGCTGACCTGGTTTGGGAATTCTGGCAGTCGACGTCCACAAATCTTAAAAGTTGCCAAGATTGGGCACCCCTGGTTGATAGATTTCAGAGGACTGTGGGAATTCAGAAAACCAGTTAACTTAGTAACTAAGTTAAACCAGAGGTCCCCAACCTTTTGCACACCAGGGACCAGTTACATGATAAGAGGTTTTTCCACGGACCGGAAGGAGTATGATTTTGTGTGCTGCCTGCATCCCATGGATGGGGCTTTGCTTGTTTGTGCGGACCGGTTGCTGGCATGCCACGGACCGGTACCAGTCCACGGAATCACAGGTTGGTGACCCCTGAGTTAAACACTGTTCCTAATCTCCAAGGCTAACTAGCCATTTCAAGAGCAGGAAGTGGAAACTGAGACCTGCCATATCTGGAGAACATCAAAGTGGAGAAAACTGATTGATGAATTGGCTGGTGTCCAGGGATCAGGCATCAATCTGTTCTTTTCTTGGAGAAGAATTCCATAAGGCTCAAAATGGCCCAAATAGGCATCCTAGCCCTAACCTGGAGGGTGATTGCCCTCCTTTCTCTGTCTGGGACTTGCTGCTTGACCTTCTCCTCTCCTTGTGACCCTCCACCCAACAGCCAGCAGCTACGCCTTGTATGGAGAGCGTCTGGGTCTTCTGGAGGAGAGTCCCAAGCCCGAGTCCCAGGAGTTCATCAGCGCCGTGGAGATCATGTTGCAGACTACGCTGCCTCTGCTCTTCATCCCGCCAGGCGTGATGCGCTGGGTGAACAACAAGCTCTGGCAGGACCACCTGAAGGCCTGGGATACTATCTTCAGCCACGGTCAGCCTGGGAGGAGCCGGGCACTGGAGTCCGGGGGGGGGGGTGGGGTTGAAGGTCACCACCAACAGGATGGCAGAGGCCTGGAGGAAACTGCAAAATGGGTTGGGTGGGTGAGCGAGGGGCCACTGAGCTAAAATGACACAACGGGGCAGTGATCAAGGTCTAGGACCTCTCAAACAAGTAAAAGATCAAAGACGAACTCACATTAAGAGAATTTATGGGGTGCTAGTAGAATTGGATTCAGAACCAGAAATAATTAAAGAATGTATGATTAAATGGGCACAAAATTTTGGTGAACCAGACCTACTAGATACCTGGAAAACCATCTGGGTGAGGAATGTTAAATTTACACAAGCCCAGAACTTAAGGGAGAATTTTTATAAAATGTTTTACAGATGGCACCTTGATCCACAAAAAATGTCTCGTATGTATCCTGACTTACAGCCCAAATGTTGGAGATGTGGTTGTTTGGATGCTACTTATTATCATACTTGGTGGTCGTGTAAAAATATAAAAGCCTTTTGGATTAAGATATGGTGGAATATTCAAAGAATTTTTAGAAGGAGGGTAAAATTTACCCCACAATTGTTTTTGCTAGGTATTGTTATCGATTGTGACACTAAGGAGGTTATATTGATGTTAAATTTAATCACGGCCGCAAGGTTGTTAGTAGGGCAATATTGGAAGAAGGAATCTTTGCCTACTTTGCAAGAGTGGTTTTCTAAAATTTCTTATCTGGCGGAAATGGCAAAGATTTCGGCTTTTTTAAAGGATCAATCTCAAGAGAAGTTTTTTGCGGTATGGGAAAAATGGATAGATTTTATACAACATAAGTTGGATATAAAAATATTATTTAGTTTTTCAATAACTTATATATAAATTTTAATATTTTATAGACTGTATTTTTTTTTCTTCTTCCTTATATTTCTTATTTTTTATTTTGCTTTCTTTCTTTTCTTCTTTCCTTTTCTTTATTTTTTTCTTTTAAGCATTTTTCTTTTTTTTCTTTAATATTTATGCTTTTTTTACGTATATATTATTGTTAATCATTTTATAAGTTGTTTAAGTAATGTATTTAGACTTATTTATGGTTTATACTTTTTTTTTAAGAATTTAAGAAATTTTAATTAAGCCTATATTCAGTTCTGGGAAGGTTGAGGGAGGGAGTGGGAGGGTTGGGGTGGGTTGGGGAGGGTTGTTTTTTTTTGTAAAAATTTTAAAAATTTTCAATAAATAAAAAAAAAAGGTCTAGGACACCAAACATGGGTTGGCCAAAGTGCATTGAGCTCCAGGGATGGCGTCTGCCTTCCAGCCTCAGGCCCTTTTGGGGTTGGTCTGGATCAGCTACCTCCGTCAGGCTCCCTAGATACCTCACAACCTCCTATCTGATTGGTGGTGATGGGGGATGTAGTCTATGTGGTTGAAGGGCTGCTTCAGCATGACTGAGCTTGCCCAACCCCCCAGTCCTGAAGCCACCGTGCCAGGAGAGGCACGGTTTCAACAACGGAGAATCTTTGTAACTCAGGTTGAAATGAAGGGTCCTTGGTGCTCTCTGAGTTGGGTGGTTTTCCTGCAGATGTTTCATGACCCAAATATGTAGCGTCTTCAGTGCTAGAAGAGCGGGGCTTTTGGAGTGGAAGAGGAGAAGGAGGAGGAAGATAACTATGAGGTCCTTGATGCTCTCTGAGCTTGGTTTTCTTGCATACATTTCATTACCCAACTAGGTAACAACATCAGTGCTAGAAGGGAGAGGGTTTGCAGAGGGGAGGAGGAGGAGGGGGGAGATGAGGAGGAGGAGGAGGAGGAGGGGGGAGATGAAGAGGAAGAGGGGGGAGCAGGAGGAGGAGGGACTCTGAGGTCCTTGGTGCTCTCTGAGCCTGGTTGTTTTCTTGCAGACATTTCATTACCCAACTAGGAAACATCTAGGCTATCTCCCTGTTCTGGGTGGTCGCACTGAGCAGGGCCTGGGTCTCGGGTGCTTCTCACTCCTTGGGTTGTTTCTTCCAGCTGACAAATGCATCCAGAACATCTACCAGGAGTTCTGCCTGGGGAAGCCCCGCAAATATTCGGGGATCATGGCGGAGTTGCTGGTCCAGGCTGAGCTGCCTCTTGACTCCATCAAGGCCAACGTCACCGAGTTAACAGCCGGGGGTGTGGACACGGTGAGTGTGCCTAAGGGTCACACAAATATCCCCGAGGAAACACAGGGTGTCAGGTGCACCACAATCATGTAACACTCGTGCTATCCCTTGACCCATTGGCCCTTCTCTGCCCAGGGCAGTTCACGTGTGGTTCCTTGTCCTTCCGTTGGAGCAGGCTACTGTGTTGGGGGAGGGACCTCTAGGAATAGATGTGTGTGGAGATTCTCAGTCGTCCAGGCCATAGTTTATTTTATTTATTTATTTATTTATGAGACTTATATACCGCTTAGGTGCAAGCACTCTCTAAGCGATGTACACCAGTAAGCAATGTATATATATATTTTACATTGCCCCCAACAATTTGGGTCCTCCTTTTACCTACCCCGGAAGGATGGAAGGCTGAGTCAACCTTGAGCCGGTGAGATTTGAACCGCTGACCTGCTGAACACAGTCAGCTAAAGTGGCCTGCAGTACTGCACTCTAACTGCTGCGCCACCTCGGCTCTTAGTTGTCTCAAAGGGGGTTTTGCTCACACCAACCTGCCAGAACCGATGAAGCTTCTTGGGTGAGAAGCTTCTTCCTCAAGGGAAAAAAAGTGTCCAGCTGACTTTTGGAAAAGCACCTTGGGGACTCTCAGAAAATAAGAGTTGGACAGAGTCCTGAGCTCCACCAGTTTTTATCTTTAGCAAGGGATCCTCCATTCCATTCTTGGGCTGGTTCGCCATCCAACCTTGCTGGCACCCGAGAGCAATATTTCTGATGCTGCTTCTGCAGGTTGTCATCAAATCAGAAGCAACCATCAGTCTGCCTTTAAAATAGTTTGTAATTCCAGCCTTCCAAACGTTCCCAGGCCACCAAGCTGAAGAAGGATGCTGGCCAGGAGCCCGGAGGACGCCTTGTTCCCCAGGCGCTGCTTTCTGGAGCTGGGCACGGCTGCTCCAGGCACTTGGAAAAGGGTTTAACCAGGGCTCCTCAACCGTGGCAACTTTAAGACTTGTGGACTTCAACTCCCAGAATTCCTCAGCCAGCTTTGCTGAGGAATTCTGGGAGTTGAAGTCCACAAGTCTTAAAGTTGCCACGGTTGAGGAGCCCTGGAAGGCTGCTTGTCTCAGTGGCTGGTGGGGTACAGAACATTTTTGAAGTGACAATTAGCCTCCGGGAAAGCCAGGAGGGTGATCATTTATTTATTTAGCGTATGGTGAGAACCTGGCAGAAGGAAAGTGAATGTAATTACATCCAAAACCTATGGAGATTATGGCCTTATATCTGGAGGTTCAGTTCAGCTATCCAGGCCTTTGGTGTTACTTGGTGCAGGTTTCTAGGGAAGCAGAGAACGCCCGTTGTGTGCAATCTTGCGCAATACGTTTAATAGTTTATCAGCACCATAATCGCAACAAGGGGAGCCTTTCCATCCCCACTGATACGGGGCAGAGGCCCGTCTTCCAGGGAAACGCCTAATTCTGTTCAGTTTCGCCCAGAGAGAGAGAGGGAGGCCGGTCAAAACCAGCTGCCAAGTGAGGGTGATCTCATTGGCTTAAAAGTTGGAAGCAGGTTCCTGCAAAACAGCGTGGGGTTGGCTGTTTCTGCTTGAGATTCTGAACAATCTTCTCTTCTCTTCTCCTCTCCTCTCCTCCTCCCCTCCCCTCCCCTCCCCTCTTCTCCTGTATCCCCATCCATCCATCCATCCATCCATCCATCCTTCTATCCACCCACCCACCCACCCATCCATCCACCCACCCCTCCATTTCTTCTCTCCTTTGTCCCCATCTCTCTCCTCTGCCCCACCCACCCATCCATCCATTCATCCACCCCTCCATTTCTCCTCTCCTCTCCTCTCGTCTCCTCTCCTCTGTCCCCATCTCTCTCTTCTGCCCCATCCATCCATCCATCCATCCATCCATCCATCCATCCATCCATCTATCCATCCACCCATCCACCCACCCACCCACCCACCCACCCACCCATCCATTCATTCATCCACCCCTTCTCTCCTCCCCTCCCCTTCCATCTCCTCTCCTCTGCTCTGTCCCTGTCTCTCTCCTCTGCCCCATCCATCTATCCATTTATCCATCTATCTATCCATCCATCCATCCATTCATCCACCCCTCCATTTCTTCTCTCCTTCCCTCCCCTCCCCTCCCCTCCCCTCCCCTCCCCTCTCCTCTCCTCTCCTCTCCTCTGTCCCTGTCTCTCTCCTCTGCCCCATCCATCTATCCATTTATCCATCTACCCACCCACCCACCCACCCACCCATCCATCCATCCATCCATCCACCCATCCATCCATTTCTCCTCTCCTCTCGTCTCCATCTGTCCCCCCTTTCTGCCCCCCTCCCCGGCTCCCCCACAGACCGCCATGCCCCTGCTCTTCACCCTCTTTGAGCTGGCCCGCAACCCTCAGGTCCAGACCGCCATTCGGGAGGAGATCAAGGCAGCCCAGGCCCAGGGCTCCAAGGAGCTCTCCAAGGTGCTGAACGCCATGCCGCTGCTCAAGGGGGCCATTAAGGAGACGCTGAGGTAAGGGGGAGGCCGGGGGGGGGCTGGGTTCACAGGGTCTCCAGCTGAATGCCTCTCCTATGGGGACCAGCCCGGGACCACCGAAGCTCAGGTACAATTTTTACACTGAGAGGCAACTTGGTGTAGTGCTTAAGGGAGTGGCCTAGAGACCAGGATGCCGTGAATTCTAGTCCTGCCTTGGCCACAAAAGCCAACTTGGCTGTTGTTGTGGGGACCATAGGAAAAGGAAGGAGTGTTATGTACGTTCACCACCTTGAATTACTACTGTATAAAGCAGGGGTCTTCAAATTTGGCCCTTTGATGACTCGTGGACTTCAACTCCCAGAATTCCTCAGAATTTGGAAGCTGAAGGGCCAAGTTGGAAGACCCCTGGTATAAAGTAATAAAGGCAGAATAAAAATCTAATAAACAAGAGTGAAAAATGAACAGCCTGAAAGTATGAAGCACGTCGGCTGCTTTCAAATCAGTCTTAGCTCTCGGCAACTACATGGACAATTTTCCTGGCAACTTTTTTTCAGAAGTGGATTACCAACCTTTTCCTCCTAGAGCTGAGAAGGGGGGGGGGCAGGCAGAACTAGAATTCACAGGCTCCTGGTTTATAGCCCACCAGGGATAGGCAACCTTGGCTCTTTTATGACTGGTGGACTTCAACTCCCAGAATTCCTGAGCCAGCCATGCTGAGGGGAAAGGGAAGTTTCCAAGCTGAGCCAGGCTGACTCAGGAATTCTGGGAGTTGAAGTCCACCAGTCATAAAAAAGCCAAGGTTGCCTACCCTGATCAAAGCTTTGAAACTATCAGGGAAACAGCAACTGTCCACCATTTCTATGAGGAAGTTGGGCAGTTAAGAAGCTGGATGTGTAAATAAAAATGAAGGAACCCATCTCCACACAGGAGAGCTGGGGAGAAGCAACGGCTCCTCTTTTTTTCTCCCCCCCTTCTGTTGCAGGCTCTACCCGGTGGGCATCACCATCCAGCGCTACCCTCTGAGAGATATGGTGCTCCAGAATTACTGCGTACCAGCTGGGGTAAGTGCCCGGCAGCCCAAGGGCCGGCCCCTTGCCAGCTCCACAATCCCGGGGGAGGTGTGGGATGTGTGTGTGGCTAAGATCGGCCTGGCTTGACCTGATGGATTCCTGCCACGCCGGACAGCCTCTAGCCCAGTGGGGCAAACTGGAGCACAGGGTCCGCTTGGCAAAGGTCCTAGATGCAAACTCTTATAAAACCCAATTCCAGGCAACAGGAGACCCCGTCTCCCCCTCCCCGCATGGCCACCGCCTCTTGGTCCTTGGGGGCCTCTTCACGTGCAATGCTTGGGTGAGGCTGGGTTGACTTCGGGCTGCCATTCCTTGCCTCTCTTCGGGTTACCATCAGTGACCACAGACAGTCTTCGACTTATGACTGATCCTTTAGTGACCGTTTGAAGTTACAATGGCACTGAAAAAGGACAATCTTTCATATTTACGACCATTGCAGCGTCTCCCCCATGGTCACGTGATCAAAATTCAGACGCTTGCAATTGGTTCATATTTATGACAATCGCAGCATCCTAGGATGCTGTTGTCCCCTTTTACGACCTTCCGACAAGCAAAGTCAATGGGGAGAAAGCCAGATTCGCTTAACGACCGTGTGACTAATAACTGCAGTGATCCACTTAAGGACTGTGCCAAGAAAGGCTGTCAAATGGGGCAGAACTCACTTCAAAGCTGCCTTACTTAGCGACGGGAATTTGGGGCTCGGTCGTACGTCAGGGACTGCCTGTAACGAGAGGTGTAATGGGAGTGAAGACCGTCTCTCGGAGCCGCCTGGGGGCTTTGGAGCAGGGTGGGTTGGGCGGCCGTCTGAAAGACCCCGGAGCCGCGAGGCGGAAGGGCCTGCCCTGCCTTCTCCGGGTGCAGGAGGGCAAATGGCGGCCTCTTCAGCAGCGTCTCCTTCTCCTCCCCCAGACTCTGTGCCAGGTGGGGCTCTACTCCATGGGCCGGAGCCCGGCGGTATTTGCGGACCCCGAGCAGTACAAGCCCACCCGCTGGCTGAGCAAAGAGGACCACAGCTTCAAGGCCCTGGCCTTTGGCTTCGGCTCGCGCCAGTGCATCGGCCGGAGGCTGGCAGAGGCCGAAATGGCGCTCTTCCTCATGCACGTGAGTCCGGCGGGCAGGGGGATCCCCGAGGGGGGTTGCAGGGTAGCCCCGACAGCCGACTCCTCTGCCTAGGGCAGGGGTCTTCAAACTTGGCCCTTTTATGACTTGGGAACTTCAACTCCCAGAATTCCTCAGCCAGCGTGAGGGAACTATGACCCTTTTATGACTTGGGGACTTCAACTCCCAGAATTCCTCAGCCAGCGTGAGGGAACTGTGACCCTTTTATGACTTGGGGACTTCAACTCCCAGAATTCCTCAGCCAGCGTGAGGAAACTATGACCTTTTTATGACTTGTGGACTTCAACTTCCAGAATTCCTCAGCCAGGCACGCGTGCCTGGCTGAGGAATTCTGGGAGTTGAAGTCCACAAGTCATAAAAGGGCCACATTTGAAGACCCCTGGTCTAGGTAGTCCTCAATTTACGACTGTTCCTTTAGTGACCATTTGACGTTAGAACAGTGTTGAAAGAAGTGGCTTGTGAATCTTTTTCACTCTTTCCAGTGTTCCTCCTGGTCACATAGCCAAAATTTGGACGCTGGGCAACTGGCTCCTATTTATGACGGTCGCAGCGTCCCGGGGAGGGGGTGGTGTCACATGATCCCCTTTTGCGACCTTCTGAGAAGCCAAGTCAAGGGGGAAGCCGGATTCACTTAAGGACTGCGTGACCAGCTTCACAACTGCAGTGATTCATTTAACAACCGGGGCACGAAAGATTGCAAAGTGGGGCAAAACTCACTTAACGACAGAAATGTCGGGCAACTGTGGTCGTAAGTGGAGGACTGCCTGTAAAAGGAAGCCTTTGCATGCCTTGGTGGACGGCATCCCCCAGTGAGTCGAAGGGGGATTGTGGGAAGTAAAGGCCAGGGAATGCAAAGGCTGGCTTTGCAAAGGGGGAGGCAGGGAAGGGCCCCCGATGGACCCCCGTCTCTCTTCATGGGGCTCTTTCAGATCCTGAGGAACTTCAAGATTGACACCGTCTCCAAGGAGGACATCTGGACCATCTACAGCTTCATTCTGAAGCCGGAGAAACCCCCTCGGCTCACCTTCCGCCCCATTGACTAGGGGCCCCTCCCCATGTGGGCTTGTCCTGCTCACCAGCTCTGGCCTGCAATCTGCAGAGGGGGAGGGGGGAGAAGGGACAGGCCCCGTTCTCAAAGACCAGGAAGCCCCCCCCCATTTGCCCAGCTTCCTCCTGACAGCAAACCACACTCCTTACTAGCACTGATGACGTTACCTAGATGGGTCATGAAACGTCTGCAAGAAAACAACCCAGCTCAGAGACTACTACTACTACTCTTTCTTCTTCTTCTTCTTCTTCTTCTTCTTCTTCTTCTTCTTCTTCTTCTTCTTCTTCTTCTTCTTCTTCTTCTTCTTCTTCTTCTTCTTCTTCTTCTTCTTCTTCGTCTTCTTCTTCTTCTTCTTCTTCTTCTTCTTCTTCTTCTTCTTCTTCTTCTTCTTCTTCTTCTTCTTCTTCTTCTTCTTCTTCTTCTTCTTCTTTCTCCATCTCCTCTCCCCAAACCCCACTCTTTTCTGGCACCGATGATGATACCTAGTTGGGTCATGAAACGTCTGCAAGGAAATAACCAAGCTCAGAGAGCACAGAGGACGCCACAATCCTTCCTTCTCCTTCTCCCCTTCTCCTTTTTCTCCTCCTCCTCCTCCCCTCCTCCTCCTCCCCTCCTCCTCCTCTCCCCAAACCCCCCTCCTTTCTAGCACTGATGATGTTACCTAGTTGGGCCATGAAACGTCTGCAAGGAAACCACCCAGCCCAGAGGGCACCCAGGACCCCTCATTTCAACCCTGAGCTACAGAGATTCTTCTTCAATGGCTCAGCTTCCTCCATTCTCCCCCCCTCCAGAAGCTGGGGCTTTTCTGGTGGGGGGCAGGAAAATGAGCCCCTCTTCCTTTGCAATTACTGAAGGACCAGTGATGGGATTCAGCCAGTTCGCACCACTTCGGCAGAACCGGTAGCTAATTTCTTGTGGCCCAGACCCTGAACGGACTTCCGGAAGCGGCATCCACAGAGAGAGAACCCCTTGTTCACCTATTTGAATCCCACCCCGGTGAAGGGGGTGCAGAAGAGGGGGGGGGCTTCCTGAAAACATCAAAGCAGCATCCAATTCTCCCTGTGAGGGAGAAGGGCAGTTTCTAAATGAGATAAATGAATAAATAAATCTTCTCCCCACTTTTTAATTTTACTTTTCCGAGTTTTTCTTCTTCTCTCAGTTAATGTATGCAGGGCTGTCCTAAAGGATCAAATGACGCTCTGTTGTGAATCCAGCAAAAATAAATATACAGGGGGGGGGGCGATGTCCAGCAGTTTACGGCCTTCTATCAGCCCCAGAGGAGCCGAGGCCCAGACGCCCCCGACCCCAGGAACTCCAGTTGCAACATCCTGGGGTCACGCGATCCTCTTTTGGGGGACCTTCTGACAAGCAGATTCAATGAAGAAGGCAGATTCGCTTAACAACGGTGTTACTCATTTAACAACGGCAATGATTCACTTAACAAGCGTGACCAAAGGCCGTAAAATGGGGCAAAATTCACTTAACTGTCTCGCTTAGCCACATAAATTTTGGGGCCAACGATGGCCGTAAAGTCGAGGACTGCCCGTACCTTATTCCCAAACCTCCTTGGGAGTAGGCTGCGTTCAGTTCAGAGATGCCCTGCAGCCAGATGGGTGGCAAACAAACTTTATTAAAGAAGTAAATAATATAAATATTAAATATAGATACAGGTAGAGGTTCCTCTTGCAAGATGGGCTTCCAAGGGCTTTCACTCGGTCGAAAGGCAAGGATTTGCTCCTGATCGCAAACACAACTGATCCCGTTGCGAAAGTGACCGCAAAGAGCAAGCAGGAAGTGGCTGAGAAGGGAAGAAGCCCTTTGACCCCCTTCACCCCCCCGTCCCCTTTCCGTCTGCCTCTCATCTGGGCCTTCGGACCCCCCTCCCCAGCCTTCCCTCTCTGCACTAGAGATTAAAAAGTCAAGCAAACTAAAAAAATATAAAGGAATAGAACAATTAGAAAAAGCAGACAAGAAAAAATAGAAAAGAACATAGAACATTGGTCATATCTTGGTTAGTCAAGACCAAAGGTAGCCAATCTGGGCTCTTTTATGACTTGTGGACTTCAACTCCCAGAATTCCTGAGCCAGTCATGCTGAGGGGAAGGGGAGAGGTTTCCAAGCTAGCCACGTTGGCTCAGGAATTCTGGGAGTTGAAGTCCACGAGTCATGAGGGGGCCATAGTTCCCCCATGCTGGCTCAGGAATTCTGGGAGTTGAACTCCACCAGTCATAAAAGGGCCAAGTTTGAAGATCCCTGGTTTAAATATTTAAATATTTTTTCCTCATAGTCACATGATCAAAATTCAGGCATTTGGGCAGGGGTAGGCAACCTGGGCTCTTTTATGACGCGTGGACTTCAACTCCCAGAATTCCTGAGCCAGCCATGCTGAGGGGAAAGGGAGAGGTTTCCAAGCTGAGCCATGCTGGCTCAGGAATTCTGGGAGTTGAAGTCCACGAGTCATGAGGGGGCCATAGTTCCCCCATGCTGACTGAGGAATTCTGGGAGTTGAAATCCGTGAGTCATAAAAGAGCCAAGGTTGCCTACCCGTGGTCTAGCCCCAGGGCAATGTGGGAAGGACAAGCAAGGAGAAGTTTAAAAAAAAATATTTAGGAAATTTGTATGTCTGCCCACTCACTTTCAGTGATTCTGGGTGGCTTACAAAGAATAAAAACCCAATATACAAAGAATAAAAAGGAATAACACCCCCCATCCCCCTGGCGACAACACACACACATACCAGCCCCTTGATGGGCCCCCTCCCACCACTCTGGGTCCCCCAGGCCCGCTGGCAGAACCAGATCTTGGGGGGCTTGCGAAAGAGAGTCAAAATGGTGGCCAGTCTAATCTCTGCGGAGATGAGGGAGGGAGGGAGCCACCACGGAGGAGGCCCTTCTTTTGGGTCCCACCAGATGGGCCTCCTTAGGGGACGGGCCCATGACACTCCCTGCCTCCCTCGCTCTGGTGGGTTGGGCGGATGCAACCAGGGAGAGACGGCCAAGACTCAAGGGAAAGAAAGTGTTCAAACCCGGCAGGCTAGATTGTCAGGCTTTTCCCAACTCCCAAATTGGCTGGGGAATTCTGGGAGTTGAAGTCCACAAGTTGTACAGTTCCCAAGGCCGGACAGCCCTGGCTTAGAGTCTCCTGCTTGAATAGGGGTTGGACTAGAACAGTGGTTCTCAACCTTTTTAATGCCGCAACCCCCAACCGGTTGTAAGTCGAGGACTACCCAACTGGTCGTAAGTCGAGGAATTTCCATGCCAGGGAGCGCCGTGCATGCATGGTGCCGCCCCCTGCACCGGCCGAAGCGTAGCTGGCAAGCTGCAGAGACGGCGCCGGGCGACCACTGGCTGGGCCACCAGCTGGCCCAGCCCAAGGGAGGTAAGGCACCCGCCGGGCCCCACGCGTGCCAGCAACCCTCCCTGCGCCCGCCGGCCTCCCACCTCCCACCCCTGGCCCTCTTTTGCTTACATTTTTAGTAGTTGCTCAGCAGGGAGGGGTGGAAGCTTCCAGACAGCTCGCCTTCGCTGCAGACAACTTGCATCACCGTTTGCAGACTGGGGCTTTTGGCAGGCTCAGCAGGGCAGAGACAGCCTGGACAATTCCTGTTGGCTTTTGAAAGCCAATAGAGTTAGACTCTATTCAAGAGAGTCTATTCTATTGGCTTTCAAAAGCCAATAGAATAAAAGGGAGTAGCACAGCCAAGGAAAAGGGGAAAAAATGGCGGACTGCGTTGTTTGGTGACCCCCGTGAAATGGTCGTTCGACCCCAAATGGGGTCCCGACCCACAGGTTGAGAACCACTGGATTAGAAGACCTCCGAGGTCCCTTCCAGCCCTGTGACTTTACGATTCTCGTCCCCTCTCCCCGCCAAGACCTGCGTAGCTTTTTGAGAACAGCGGGCTCGACATCTTCCCAAGATCAGGAGACCGTTCGGAGTAACGGTCTCTTCTTTGACAATGCTGGTTCCTTGACCAGAGAGACGCAAGGGGTTTATTTTGGAGACCCAGGAAATGGAGCACAAGCCGAGGTGGGGCTGGCTGGGGTGATTGGGCCCACTCCCACTTGACCCATGCCAGCTGCGGGTGATGCAAAAACAGCCTGAAGTTTGGCAACCTCCGTTCTTCCACATTTGTCACCACAAAGGAATTTGCTCCGTCAGCTTTCAACCGTGAAGAATTTTAGGAGGAGGGGAAAGTAACCTTAGACACAAGTCAAGAGTCCTTTTCCGGTTTATTACCCGCCCCAAAGGCTGCAGAGCTCCAGCTGCCAAACCCAGGGGCACGGCCTTCCCTGAAGGCCCCGCCACCTAGGGGGCAGACTGCAGGTCAGGTCATGTGCAAGCCCCACAGCCGGTGTGCTCCCTGGCTTCAAGCAGGCCCCAGGCCGTATCCAGAAGGCAGCTGACGAGTGCTGAGACCTGCCAGCCTGCAAGAAACTCTGCAGAAACACAGCCACAGCAGCGCCCTGGGGTGGGAGGCAAAGAGGGAAGCAGCGGGAAGGCTCCGGGTAACAAGAGGCTGGCTGCGGAGCGCAGCGGGTTCAGCAGGAACCAAAGGACGAGGCGCCTAGCAGGATGTGTTGCAAAAGTGTCTCCCCCTCCCTGATTGTGTAAAACTCTTCTGGGTGAGACACAACTCGGATCTGGGGAAGGGAGACTTTTAAGAAGGAAGGGGCAGGCCTCAGATGGTGGAATGAGACACCTCGCCACGGGAGAATCAAACAATTCAATTTAGTTATTTAAAATAGTTTTAAAAATTATTTCAATTTTTGCCATTGACGTTTTATTTTGCCCCTCCTTTGGCATCCTCTCTTTAATGATTCCATTCGACTCTTTCTTTGTAGCTCTTCTCCCGCGGCCAGTTGGCCATGGTGAATTATCGTAGACCCCTAAGGAGGCAGTCCACTACTCTGCATTAGCAGTGCAACTCTCCTGGCTAATGTAACGTCGCCAAATCCTGAATAATAATAATAATAATAATCCAGGCCTAAGAATACCCAGCTATGGGTTCCAATTTCTGCCTTCTGGTCTCATGGATGATGGGTCTAGGACAGCTCGCCTCGGCCAACTTGTCGTGGCCAACTCACTGCCAACTGGCCATAGGACAACCCCAGATGGCCAACTTGCTGTGGGCAGCCAGAGTCACTTGGTACAGAGGAGGTCAGCGGCACAGAAATATAATGAATAAATACATTTTAGACAGCAGGACAAAATGCTCCTGAGCAATAGCTGGCTGGGGAATTCTGGGATTTGAAGTCCACCTTTCATCTTCATCAAGGTTGAGAAACGCCGTGCCAGAGCATGCACTGAGCTGAGCTGAAGTACTGATTCTCAGCCCCACAACTGGGAGCCCATCCTGTCTCTCTAACTAAGGGAGCTTTTTACGCTTACTATCCCTCTGTCCTCCCCCCTACTTGACGGAGAACAAAATAACTAAGGGCTCTTCAAGGCAGCTGCAGCCACAAAATCCCCCTTCAAGACCTGGTGGGAAGGTGCTGAAGTGTACTTGACCTAATCCTTTTTGACAGCTCACCTATGGTTCTGGAGGAGAAACCTCCTCAAGGCTACTGGCTGTGGAGACAAAATGTAGCCTTCCTGCTTGGATGCAACATAAAACTCCTGGTTATGAAAGGTGGTCTTCTTCCCCAGAGTCTTGCAGGTCAGAATACAGAATAAGAGTTGGAAGGGACCTTGGAGGTCTTCTAGTCCAACCCCTGCTTAGGCAGGAGGCCCTATACCATTTCAGACAAATGGCTGGGTCTCTTCTTAAAAGCTTCCAGTGTTGGAGCAGTCACAGCTTCTGGAGGCAGGTTGTTCCACTGGTTGATTGTTCTCACTTTCAGGAAGTTTCTCCTTAGTTCTAGGTTGCTTCACTCCTTAGTTTCCATTCATTGCTTCTTGTCCTGCCTTCAGGTGCTTTGTTGGAAGATGTTGGAAGGCTGCTATCCTGTCCCCCCTTCTCCTTCTCTTCATTAAACTAGACATACTCAATTCCAGGAACTCTTCTTTGTATATTTTAGCCTCCAGTCCCCTCGTCATCTTTGTTGCTCTTCTCTGCACTCTTTCTATCTAGAGTCTCAACATCTTTTTTACATTGGGGCGACCAAAACTGCATGCCAGATTCCAAGGGTGGCCTTACCAAGGCCTTGTAAAGTGATATTAACACTTCACGTGATCTTGATTCTCTCCCTTTGTTAATGCAGCCCAGCACTGTGTTGGCTTTTTTGGCAGCTGCAGCACACGGCTGGCTCCTATTTAAAGGATTGTCCACTAGAACTCTGAGATAGGAGGAGGAAGGTGTGTGGGATATGCTCACGGCCTTGAGTGATTTGCAAAACTAATAAAGGCAGGACATTAAACAAACAAACAAACAACCTGTGGACTTCAGGACTGCCGACGGCACCATTTCCTTCCCAAATTCTCCTGTAGCCCCCCCCCATCACTGGTCAGGCTGGGTCTGCTCCAGTGTCTGCGGGGGAGCTCTGGGGTTCCTGTGCCCAGAACCCCCTCCCCTGAGGCAAACCCCTCCCCTGGCTCTTTCCAAGCGAGGCAGTGCCCCTGCCAACCTTGAGGGGGGGGGGGTAATTGGCTTGCATACACCCCCCATGAGCGCTCCTTTCCTACTCTGATTTTTTATTCTACTCTAGTACTTTGCTCTACTCTTCTACTCTGCTTTACTACTCTACTCTTCTATATTCTACACTCTTACTCTATTCTTCTACCGTACTGTACTACTCTGCTCTACTCTTCTACTACTCTACTCTTCTACTCCACTACTCTGCTTTACTACTCTTCTACTCTACACTATATTCTTTTATTCTACTGCTCTACTTTTCTATACTCTTCTACTCTACTACTCTGCTCTACTCTTCTACTCTGCTTTACTAACCTACTCTACTACTCTATTCTTCTATACTCTACTACTCTGCTCTATCCTATTTTTCTACTTTGCTCTAATACTCTACTCTTCTACTTCGCTTTACTACTCTATCCTCTTCTCTCCTCCTCTGCTCTAGTACTCTATACTCCTCTACCCTACTACTCTGCTCTACCCCTCTCCTCTCCTGAAAGTCACGGGGAACCCCGAACCCCTGCAACCCCCTGGCTTTGACACAGGCTTCCCCCCCCACCTCCCGAGAGGGGGCGTCTCCCCGAACGGCCAGCCCCGCCTCGCCCCCGATTGGCCCCACCTGCGAGTCCACTGCCGTGCATGGCCCCTGGACGGCCGGCCAGAGAAGCCACGCCCCCGCCCTCCCATTGGACGACCGCGCCGTCCGTCTGTGCTGGAGGCGGAGGGCGATGCCTGGCCGCGCTGGGCTCCTCGGGACTTGTAGTTCCGCGCAGTGAGGGTCCGGCTGAGAAGCGCGGCCCTGGCGATCCGCGCGGCCCTTCACAACCTCGGGCGGATCGAAGGCCCGAAGCCCCGATGCGGGGAAAGGGGGGGCTTCTCCTGCCGCGCGTTCACCCCTCCCGCCCCCGCGGGGCCGAAGCGACGGAAAGGGTGGCGGGCAAGCAAGGGTTAACCTAGCCCGACGGCGGCGGCGGCGGCACCGTCCCCGCCCATTAACCACAAGCCACGCCCCTCCCCCTCCCTCGCCTGCCATTGGCGGCCGCCCCGAGCGGCGCGTTTAAAAGGGACTACATTTCCCAGCGGGCGCTCGCAAAAGGGACTACATTTCCCAGCGGGCGCTCGCAAAGCGGCTGCGCAGCAGGCGGTGGGCGGAGCTACGGCGTCCCCGGGGCGAGTCGGACGGGCGCTGCCGCGGGCGGGGGGCGCGGCCTCCGAGGGGGCGGGGCCCGGCAGGCGGCGAGCAACGGACGGGGCGGAAGGCGCCGCGGGGCCCGCGCTTCTTCCTCCGCTTCCTCCCCTTCCTCCGCCCGCCGCACCAGCCATGGGCGAGCGGGGCAGCAACGGCGCCCAGCAGCCCAAGAAGCGGGCGGCGGCGGCCGGGGGCGTGTCTCGGCAGCCCCGCGACGGAGCGGGAGAGGCGAGCCCTGCGCAGCGCGGCGCGGGGGACGGCGCGGACCCCTTCTACGACGCCGCCTTCAGGTACGGGGGCTGGGGCGGGAGCGGGGGCGAGGGGAGGGGGCGCCACCCAGCCACCCGCGAGGTCTCCACGCGTGTCCTCCCGGGGAGGCGACGCCCGCCCTTCAAGACTGGGGGGGGGTCTTAAGAAGGAGGAAGGGGCCTCCCAGCTGTTCCTGCCTCTGGAAGCCCACCTCGAGGGGGTCTTTCTCGACCTCTGCAACTGGAAGAGCGGGGGGGGGATTTCCACTCCCAGAATCCCCCCCCGCCAGCAAGCTTCCCGGAGGAATTCTGGGAGTTGAAGTCCCCCCCTCCGCTTTCCAGTTGGGATGCCGCTCCTTGAACCCCCCCCCCCCGCCAGGCGCTTCCTGGGATGCAAATTGCCCCCCCTTCGGGTGCTTTAGGCTTGACCTTTTGCCCTTCCGGGCCAAGGTGGGGCAGGGAGGGGGCCTTTTTTGGTGCTGCCCCACGTCCCCCCTCCCCCTTGGCTTCAGGCACTTTGGGCTTTGGGTTGGAGAGTTTTTAAGAAGAGACTGGACAGCCAGCTGTCTGGAATGATATAGGGTCTCCTGCTTGAGCAGGGGGCTGGACTAGAAGACCTCCAAGGTCCCTCCCGGCTCTGTTCTGATTGAAATGGATAAGTTACCTGGCCCACCTGTTTTAACAGCCATGGTGTCACAGCCATGGTGTTGGGATTGTGGCTCTGCAGCACTTGCTCGCACCTCCCCACGTGGGAGTATCCTCCTCCTCCTCCAAACAAACACCTCGCCCAGAGAATTTAACCCAAGGCTGGAGTTCGTTTCTGCCACAGAGGAAGAAAACAGGTCAACGATTGTAAATCAATTCAGAAGAGTGTGGAATGCTCCTGTTTGTAGTGTGGGTGTGGTGTAAATCCTGCAACCTGTGGCTAATTAGCCTGAATTCATATTTGCCACTATTCACTCACAGGCTGAGAGGAAAAAAAAAAGGCAAATCACTGGCTAAGAAGTGGAGAAGCTTAGGAATACAGAGTAACAGCTGGAAGTGACATTTGAGGCTTTCTACTCAGTCAGGAGACCCTATAGCAGGGCTAGGCCACCTTGGCTCTTTTATGACTGGTGGACTTCAACTCCCAGAATTCCTGAGCCAGCCGTGCTGAGGGGAAAGAGAGTTTTCCAAGTTGAGCCATGCTGGCTCAGGAATTCTGGGAGTTGAAGTCCACCAGTCATAAAAGAGCCAAGCCAAGGTTGGCTATCCCTGCCCTAGACCATTCCAGACAGCTGGCTGTCCAGTGTCTTCTGAAAAACCTCAATTGATGAAGCACCAACAACTTCTGGAGGCAAGCAGTTCCACTGGTTAATTATCCTCATGGTCAGGATATTCCTCCTTAGTTCCAGGCTGCTGCTTTTCTCCTTGATTAGTTTCCCTCTGTTGCTTCTTGTCCTGCCTTCAGGCGCTTTGGAGAATAAATTGACCCCCTGGCAGCCCCTGAGATATTGATGGGACTTTGGGGCAGGCAGGGGGGGGGACGCAGCCCCAGGAGAAGGCGGGGGGGGGACTGCTCCCCCCAGCCACGTCAGAGGGAGTCTCAGAGAGCCTCTGTTGAAATGTACACCACCTTTGTCCTGCGAAAGTGATGACAAAGCTGAGGCACAGTCAATTTCTCAGAGGGTGTGGTGGTGCTTATTATGCTCCGGAGTCATAAAGTAAAACTTTTCCGGCCAGGCTGTGTGTGTGTGTGTGGGGGGGGGGGGTTGCCTGTGTGTGGGAGTGCCTGTGTGTGTGTGTGTGTGTGTGTGTGTGTGGATGCACACCAGATGCATTTTGCAAGGAAGGTTTTGCCAACTTCTGGCGCAAGGACCGTGTGCACCACGTGAGTTCGCCGTCCTGCTCTCTTGACATCTGTCCCAATTTTCCCTAATGCGCGGAAGGCAGACCCAGCGTGGCCCGAGGTCGAGGCGGCCAGCTCAGCGCAAACAGCCTGGGGCAGTCGGTTTTTCCGCCAAAGAAGAGGAACTTGCTTCCTAGCCTTACCTGCGGTAGCTTTCTTGGCAAAACAGCAAACAGGACAAGCTTCACCCCCCCCCCTCCTTTTACAACTCGGAAGCTTCTCTCCCAGAGCAGAATTTTGGATTTGAAAGAGGCAGGAAGAAGAACCAAAATAAAGGGAGAGAAAAAGTAGCCTCCATCAGAAGGGAGCTGGGCAAGTGGCTGTCCAGTCCCTTCTCCAAAAAAGTCCACAGTGAGAAAGCACCCACCACATCTGAAGGCACAAATTGCACCCTCAGAATTCACGTAGCAACCAGGCCGGGGCTGTGGGTTCAGGATCCTGTCTTCCACAGGCTTTACATTTTGCAAGATGCAATCTGGGCCACTCACGGGGGCCGGAGGTTTGGTTTCCCAAGAGATTTTCCCTGAGGATGGCTCCAGGCAGGAGCCCAAAAGCTTTGGGGGGGGGGGACAACCTTTAATCCCAGTGACTGACTCAGACTGAATTTTACAGCATTATCCTGGGACCTGAGGGTTTTATTATTTTATGTCGCTAGGGCCCATGCTTCAGACAGAGCCATGTATTCCCAATGTATTCTACCCTGGGGGGGGGGGAGACACTTTGATGGGTTCTGGTGCTTAATAATCATGAAAAGCCAACACAGAGGCAGAATTTGCAGCCCCCCCCCGCACTGTGGCCGCTCCCACTGACTTTCCCTGTTCTTGGACTGGAGGGGGCCTCTATCGGGAGCCCCCTCCCACAGTTTAACAAGAGAAGGACAGGGGGGGGGGGCATGATAGCAGTGTTCCAGTATCTCAGGGGCTGCCCCAAAGAAGAGGGAGTCAAGCTATTCTCCAAAGCGCCTGAAGGCAGGACAAGAAGCAACGGATGGAAACTGATCAAGGAGAGAAGCAACCTAGAACTAAGGAGGAATTTCCTAACAGTGAGAACAATTAACTAGTGGAACAACCTGCCTCCGGAAGCGGTGAATGCTCCAACGCTGGAAGTTTTTAAGAAGAGACTGGACAGCCATTTGTCCGAAATGGTGTAGGGTTTCCTGCCTGATCAGGGGGTTGGACTAGATGACCTCCAAGGTCCCTTCCAACTTTACTACAACTATTACTAGTTCCTTCTGGCAGAGAAGGGCTGGCTGGATCAAAGGAGGGCAGGGCTGGGGCTGCTGGGGGAGATGGAGGTAGCCCCCACCCAGGAGGAGAGCCTGGGGGCTTCCCTCTTCAGAGCAACCCTGATCTGGAGCCTTTTCAGGAATGTGGCTGGGGGTGGGGTGGGGGAGGAAGAGCTCCTTGCCGCCCTGATGAACAGGCTCTGCCAGCTTTTTCCAGGGGGGATTTGGGGTTTTAGCCCTGGAGCAGACTCTTAAGGCAGCGGTGGGGGATTGTACGGAGGGGGGAGTCACAGCAGTAGAATAAGGTGCCTGGCAAGGTGAGGCACGAATAAGGGTCCGAAGTGGCAGCCCCCACCTCCCAGCCAGCTTTCCTGCTTAGTAAGGCCAGTTGGCTGTGTTGTCTTCACCCTAGTTGGGGGGTATCTGGATGAGCAGGCCAGCTGTTGTAGGAGTAGGGGTCTCTTGCCATAGGCCAGCGGCTCCCAGCCTTTTCTATACCGCGCACCCCTAAAATGCTTCTGATATATGTTCGCACCCCTTACAAAAGTTCTAAGTAACGAATTATGCATATACACTTGTTGTTAATTGCGAAGTCGTGTCCGACCCATTGCGACCCCATGGACAACGTTCCTCCAGGTCTTCCTGTCCTCTACCATCTTCTGGAGTCCATTTAAGTTCACACCTCCTGCTTCAGTGACTCCATCCAGCCATCTCATTCTCTGTCGTCCCCTTCTTCTCTTGCCCTCAATCTTTCCCAGCATCAGGCCCTTCTCCAGTGAGTCCTTCCTTCTCATTAGGTGGCCAAAGTATTTGAGTTTCAACTTCAGGATCTGGCCTTCTAAAGAGCAGTCGGGTTGATCTCTTCTAGGACTGACCGGTTTGAACGCCTTGCAGTCCAAGGGACTCGCAGGAGTCTTCTCCAGCACCATAGTTCAAAGGCCTCAATTCTTTGGCGCTCAGCCTTTCTTATGGTCCAACTTTCACAGCCATACATTGCAACTGGGAAAACCATGGCCGGGACTATACGCACTTTTGTTGGCAGGGTGATGTCTCTGCTTTTTAGTATGCTGTCTAGATTTGCCATAGCTTTCCTCCCCAGGAGCAAGCGTCTTTTGATTTCTTGGCTGCAGTCCCCATCTGAGGTGATCTTGGAGCCCAGAAAAATAAAATCTGTCACTACCTCCATTTCTTCCCCATCTATTTGCCAGGAATTGAGAGGGCCGGATGCCATGATATACACTACAATTTTGAAAACCCCAGTTTTTGCACACACACACTCCGGAATACTGTCTGGCACCCCCGGTTGGCAACCCATGCCACAGACCCACGGAGCCCCCGATGCCCTTTTCCCACAGTGCCAGCCGACAGCTCTGCCGGGCAGCCTCAGAGGGGAAGCCCTTGAACCTGGCGGGATGGCAGTCAGGTCCGAACAAGCAATTCGGCGTTGAGTCAGGCCGCCCTCTCTCACCAGCTCAGGCGGCTTCCGAACTCCCAACCGATGGGGCACCAGGCGTGTCGAGGGCAAGCTCTGCTCTGCCCTGGCATGGCATGACTGCTCCCCAGGGCTGGACGGGATCAGTGGTTGGCACCGAGAGGCAAGGGAAGAATGTGGAGCTCAGCCATAAGACCAGTAAAACCTCAAACTGGTTTCTTTGCAGGAACCGGTTGGGCTCCATCTCCTTTCCAGAAACTGGCCAAAGTTCACCAGTGAGCAATTTTGCACCACCAGTGACCGTTTCGCCTCTCCCCCCCCTCCCCGATCGGCTTTCAAAGTCGGGGTCTTGGCACGATGGAGGGTCCTGCCTAGCCCAGTTGGGCTTCTGTTTTTTTTAAAACAAGTTTTCTTAATTTTCCAGTTTTACAAAAATACAAATATTAAGGAAGCAGCGTGGTGATTGGGTAGTCAGTAGTCCAATAACAATATCTTTT